AACATCAAGCGCTGTGCTCCATTACAGCCGGTCAAAACTGAAGGGATTTTTTTTCAAGTGAATCTGAGGCAGCGCTTATCAACTTGCGCGCGCATGAGCAATTTGTCCAGAAGACGTCAATGGTTAATAACCTTTACGTCACAATCAAGCGATTATAAAAGTTTTTTTTTCTTTCGAGTTAAGATTAGCGCTAAGATGGGGAGCTGTAATTCAGTGATTTGTTCAGATGGCACAAGCGAGAAAGTCGGAGAAATGGCGAAAAAGAAGGAAAGTGAAGAGATAGAAGAGACCCCAGTGATTGAAATTCGTATCAACTGTCCGGCCTCAAAAGTGGATTCACGACAATCTCAGGTGGAGTTAAAGCAAGACTCTGGGACTGGCCATACGAGACCTGCAAGCGTAGAAGCTCTTGATGTCGAGTCCAGCGAGCAGTCGTTGTCAGATGCATCGTTGGTTCTGTCGGAAGACGACCGTGCTGTTGGACACTCGCAAGATCTTGAAGAAGATTTCAGTTTGAAAGTCCAGGGAAAGTCGTGTCTGCCCAGGAATGTGACAGTAACTGGACTGGCGCAGCAAAATGACTTCCAAGGTTGTGCATTAGCATCAGTGGAAAGCCCCGCTTGTAGTTCGTGGAACGAGAACCAATTGCAACGACAGGGCAACGGTAGTGGTGAATGTAGCAACTGGGCGAAGGAGGGTCCTGGATCCTCTGGACTCCATGGGGCACCCAAAATTTCATTGCCGCTACCGCGCCCTTCGCTATGGCAACAAGTGTATTGCAAGACACTTAAGAAAAGAGAGCGACTGGTCGAGGAAAAACTCCAGAGAAAAATGCAAGGCCGTCCGAGGAAGGAAGCTGTGAGCCTAGAGGAAGCGATACGGGCCAGAAGTATACGAGTCATTAAGAAGGTAAAAAAGTCAATGAGATTAGAGGCGGACCAGGACCCCAACAGCGGTCCTGCGGTTCTACCACCGGACGAAGCCATAGCAAGAATGTTTGGCGTGACCGTGGAAGACTGTCGTGACAGCAGCTCCGATAACAGTTCAAGCCAGGCGAGTTCAACGCTGACCTCCGCCGCGTCATGCCACAGTTCAGTCACTTCGGCTAGAGATCTTGAGGCAGAATCCTTAGAAAATGCAAACAATGGACAGAAAGGTGGCTGGAAGTCTCGCAAATGGTTTAGATTAGCGCGTAACAAGGTCGCTCCTCTCTAAGGAGAGGACGAAAACACTACAGGCCCTGGGACCAAGCGGTTTGGGGGCGAATGAAGAGATGGACACGCGAGAGGCGACAGGAAACTCGCGTGCAAGCCTCGTGCTTCACGCTCAGGGCAAAGTTTCTCGCGTGTCCAGGAGATGTATGCCCTCATTCCAAGCCGCTTACCTTAGGGCTGTCAGGGTGTGCGTAAATATGGCGCTTCAATAACCAGAGCACGAAGTAACAACTATCATGTGAATAAAAGAGATCTCATTTTAATTACACAAGGCTCGCGGACAATCAGATTTCATTTTTCTTCGTATCTAAGAGCTTCATCAGCAAGTTGGACAGAAAGCCTTTACTGTTTGTAAATGTGTGTACCTTCAAAATAAAACTTGATTTGAAGTTGAAGTAAAGTTAAAGATTTTTGATTTGACCTTTCGAGGATCTTTTATCTTGTAGTATATGGAACAGTTTCCAAAATTGTATATAACTGAGTGAAGAAAGGTATTAAAAATTGATTAAACCCTTAATGTACCCGTCTGAAAACTTAACATTGAGTATACCTAAAACACCACTTTTTTCATACGTTCTTTCTAATGAAGAGCAAGGACTCCAAAGTTCAGACAAACGTCGAGCAAAACTCTCCTCTACAAATTAATTGAAGTGTCTGGAGAAACCTGAGCAGCACTCCAAAAATTGCCACGCCAGCATACAATGTTTCTTAGCAACCTTGGACAAGAAAGTCGCGGGCTCAGTCAATTCTCGGAGACAGCATTTCGCCTTAACTGGTACTTATTCCCCTGACTGCTACTGACCGTCAAAGACGATCGCTGCTAGGGTTACGGTACGCGGACTTTGTATTCATGTGCGAGTTGATCGAGGAGAGTTTGGCCAGCGACTTGAATAAATTTTCTTTAATTTTCTTTTCGCGTGTTCGATGTATTTAATTATCACCGTAATTTTCTGTTCAAAACATTATTACACGAGCTATCTCCTCGTCAGTGTATTGCAACGGAAAGTCTTTCCACGCGAAGCTCAACGGTGCTTATATATTATTTTATTATCGTCATTTTCATCATCTTTGTGCGTGCGCACTTGCTAAAACATCTTCCTGTCACTTTTTGAGTACTGTTGTACCTCCCACTGTTTAGTTTGCAAGCATATCGAGCAAGAAAATAAGTGAAGAATGTCTATATGGCAAGCTTTGCGTCTCGCGTCCAATGCATTGTCTTACTTTTTGACTTGCCCCAGTGCTCCTCGTTTCTTTGTTAGAAACCAATTGCGCAACCGCTGACACATAATGCAGGCTCATACTTTGAGCACCTTGGGGTCATGGCGCCCCTTTGATAAAAAATCTTGCTCTGGTATTCCTTGTCTTCTATGATCTCCATCTGTTGACATACGATAAAGAAAAGGTCGAAAGTGTTATTCGTAAGACCCTATCCGAGATCAAGCATTCAATATCGTTCGGCTTTGTGTGCATTCAGGCTCGCTTGGCTACTCTTCACATTCAGGGTCCGGCATTTAGAACAAAACATTCATTTCATCCCTTTATGTTATTCGGAACTGAACTGTGATTTTTGCGCCATACCCTCACCTTTTCGTACAGCGTAACTAAACGTAACTAAATTTTTTTTAATTCTAAATTTTAACGACGACTACAAGTTCATCCTTTTTTACACCTGCACTAACTTTCTCCACCACTGAGGACTCGCTAATCCGCTGCTTGCTTACTTACACTAATGCCCTTTTACATGATAACATCTACTTAATTGACTGATAAAGCAGAACTGAGCTTTTGATAATATCATTTGCCGTGCTAACAAGAGAGCTTACATTTTCAGTACTTTGTCTTTTCCTCCGCTTGCTACCCTTGTGCCATCTGGACTCCAGTCTACACTGTACACCTGTAAATGACAGAGAATACTCCTTCGGTTTCAACCAGGAAATACAAATTCCTCTTACTGATGACCATACGTTTACTCTTCATAACTTTTGAGGATTTGGCGGTGTATCAAGACATGGTACGCTTACTGTCAACACCAGTGTGCTTGAAAAGATCATACACTGTAGACAAGTTTTTATTCTGATTGTTTTCGGGTGGGGAGGGGGGCTGGCAAAGCGCACGCGAATGCCAAGATTGAAAACTGTCAATAAAGAATACTCGTTATAAGTTATAAATGATGTACCTCATCTGCGTGACCAGGAAGATCCTCCATGATTTTCTTCGTTTTCATGTCCCATACCTGTTTTAAATTGAAAATTGGGTTGTGTTAGGGGCTACCAAATCAATTCCAAGATGTAGTTAACGGCTATCTAATTTTGTGATTTGGTCTATCCATTACGAGTTAGATGATTTCACTGAAAAGTTGTAATAGATTCGCAATCGATTAGTAATTGGCTAATGACAAAAGTGATCCTTAAATAGAAAAACTACGAAATGTGTAATAATAGAACTGTAACCAGGATAAGACATATTGGAATGAAGAATGTAGCGCGCAAGCGAAATAACATACACTGTCGAATCGAAATCGACGCGGATAACAACTCAAAACCGTTGCCTAGGCAATA